GGGGGGGGGGGTGATGAGGAGGGAGAAAGGGTAGTACTCATATAAGTCTTTGAAAAATTAGAAAAACAATTCCCAGTCTGTTTCTTAAAATCTTTATTATTTGGTACTCTTTTGATGTAAAAACTGCCATTTTCCCCTAAGTCTTTGGTCTCTTCTTTACTTCATTACCTTAAAAGAATTAAAATAACTCTATTCAATCAACCATAATAGTCCCATGGCAGATATAAAGCTAAAATTAAAAGGAAACTTTTGAATATATTCTATAATATGCATTTGGTTATGGCTACCTTAACTGGATATTTTTTAGATCAAACTTTTCTTTAGGTAGCACTTTTGGTTTTAGGAAGTGCTGAGATAAGTGTCTAGGAGCAGAATATGTCTATGTGGCACTCCCAATTGAAAATATTTTATAGTTAACAAAACTGAACATAACAAAAATATCCTAAATACAGCACCAATTCCATTAACATTTACCTAGCAAGCTTCCACCTGGCATTTTTGCATACACACAGGAGTCAGTCTTGGAGGGCAATGGGGGTGTAATAGCACTGTTTCGTTTTTTGTTTAGTTCTGTGAGAGCTACACAGATGTGTGACCAGTGGTATAGGTACTCCATGACAATATTACCAAATTTCCATACTTCCATTCGGGAATGACCTGCACCAAGGGGAAAAAAATGTTAGTGTGTATAGTTTTGTACTTTTTAAAATTAAAATATAAGTTCTAGTATTATAATGAACGTTCACTATTAGATATGTTTGGAGTCAAAACCATAGCAGGATCTTGTTTAAATATCTAAGGATTAATTGTTGGTATATTCATCTAATGAAATACTACACAGCACTTAACAACAATTAAAGAACTAGAGCTACATAGATCATATGGATAAATCTCAAAAACATTATTGAGCACAAAATGTAAGTGCAGGATAATATGTTCTTTGGATACAATTTTTAAAAGTTTTAAAACCTGCAAAATAATATTATATTGTTTATGGATTCATAAACGTGCTAAAAGTAAGAAATCATGCATGATAAACACCAAATTCATAATAGTATTATCTCTAGGGAGAAAGAAAAGAAAATAGGATCAGGGAGGGGTAGAAAGTCTCAACTATTCCTATAATATTTTGTTGTCAATCTTCACCGGAAGATATTTTTTCCATTAATTTTTAGAGAGAGTGGAAGGGAGTGGAAGAGAGCGAGAGAGGGAGAGAGAGACATTGATGTGAGAGAACATTGGTTGGTTGCCTCTGGCACACTCAACGACCAGGTTGGAATGAAACCGCAACGCAGGCACATGCCCTTGATTGGGAATCAAACCTGTGACCCCTCTGTGCACTGGCTGGTGCTTTAATCACTGAGCCACACTGGCCAGGGCCATATAATGTTTTATTTCTTTTAAAAAGTCTGACTCAAACATGCATAGTGTTAAGATTGGATATAGAATATGGCTCCATAATGACTACACAGGTGTTAGTCTCAAACTTTTATGTTGAAATACTTCCTAATTTAAAATTATTTTAAAATATATAATCACTGCATACCATTATGGTTCATTTGTTAAATTGCAAACTATTAAACTGACATTTATAAAAGTTACTTTTTCCCAGGAGTCAATGACTAATAGTCAGATAGGCTGGTCCAATGGAAAGAGACTATACTGCAGATTTGAACAGATCTGGGTTCCAATCTGGACTCTACCCCCGAGTCTTGTGCCCTCGAGCAGGTCACTTAATTGTCCTGAGGCTGTTTCTTCTTCCATAGAACAGGGATAATACTTCAGAATTGTATGAAGATTAATGAGAAAAGATGTGAAAATCTGTCGTATAGTAGTTGCTCAAAAAAATATTAATTACTGTCCTTTCAGGTGCCTCCCACCCTCAGGTGTATGCCTCACCCAATAAATGTTTGCTGTCTTGAGTTGAATAAACCATAAATGATACTTATAATTCAATAAGAGGTTTTAAATATCACCTATCCATAGCTCTTTAACAACAATGACAATGATGAATAAAAACAAAAACAAATGCTGGTCATGAGAGCACATGAAATATACCTGATTCATCTCGTGTTATGGGTAATACAAGACCAATCAACATACATACTTAAAATATTGAGGTGCATTTGTTATAATTGATCCCTTTTTGTATTTATTAGTTCCTGGAACAAAGTAATGCTATAGGCTGCAAAGATTACTTTGATTATCTTAACGTTATGAATCTAAATTAAATAAAAGTTCACCCTAGAACACTTCAAAAACCAGTCCTAACTGATTTTCTGAGATATAAGAGCTCTCCTGCTCCCCACAGCTTTTATTTTCCCCTTCCTAAATGCCCATCAAGAGCTCTCTTCCATTGACGCCTGCCACAGTGTTCGTATCTGGTATCCAAATGAATAGGTTCCTATCTGCAACCATTATTAAGCCATGGTGATTCAAGGGCACGAGGGTGGGGATCAAGGGCATTCCCTTTCACAAGCCCCTGTTGCTTGTTTCCTGTCTTATTGTTAACAGGTACAGAAACTCCAAACCTGTCTGGGCCCAGTAGTTTCTGTTTCCTGCCCTTTCCAATGAGAGATTGATGCTTTAACAACTGGCTTTAACTATTCCTCTAATGAAGACTTCAGTGCTCTGTGGCAACTATTTTCAACCTTTTTCATCTCATGGCACACATAAACTAATTACTAAAATTATGTGGCACACCGAAAAATATATTTTTTGCCAATTTCACAAAAAAAGTATAATTTTGATTCATTCACACCTGACAGCTATTGTTGTTTTGGCTGTTGTCATTTTTTTATTAGACAATCTAAGGGAAAAGAGGTCAGTGCTCCTGACTAAATAGTCAGGTATTGCATGTTTTAGAAATTCTTGAGCCACACCAGTGTGCGGTGGCGCACGGGTTGAAAATCGCTGCTCTGTGAGGTTCCCTTTAACAGCGGTTGAGCGCTGCTGCCCTCTTGTGGTGGGTAGATGCCAGCTCTTTGCAGTAGTTTGCGCAGATTTCACAATTCTCTCAAGCAGATATACTGCTTTTTTTTTTCTATTCTAACCATAAGAATTTATGCTTTTTTTGCTTTGCATTGGTAAGGGTTATAGTAAATTATTTGAAGACATCTGAGCTAAAATAATTGCTGAGTCAACCTTTGAATCTGTGTATAAACCTGTTGATTTTGAAACATTCAAGTTGAATCAAACTTTCAGTTACATAGGGAATTCATTTTGCTTAAAACATTAGGATGCTATGGAATATTTCTAATTATATCCATTTATGAGTCTGCTTTAACAATGGATTAAGTTAAATCTTACATTTTTTTTCTTGAGTTCTCAAAGCTTAGGTAGAAGTTTATTGCAGGCTGAACATTGAGTTTTTGCAAGTATATTAGTTTCATTTCTATTGTAATTACAACTTCTGTACAGTATCATGTTGTATTGGCTTTTTTAAATGGTGTAGCTATAAATCAAATATGTACAAATTGAAATCAATGCAATTTATCTTTATAAAAATTCATACTTTAAGGCAGCGGTCTCCAAACTCTTAGATAATGTCCTTCTGTCAGTAACAAATATTGAGCATGATCCCAATATATGTATATTTATTTATAAATTATTTATTTTAAAACATTAAAAAATAGACATTGATGGGTTAAATTTATTAAAATAAAAGCCTTGCACTACTTTCTTGCACTCCAATGGTATAAGTACCAGTTGTTTGTGCCTTTTGTTTACTACTTTTTGTTGGAGCTTAGTGGGGAAAGCCTACAGGCATCGCAATATTCAGTAGACTCATTCATACTCTCCCTGTTTTCACTCTGATACTCTCCCTCTCAACTGTGTCTGATGTCCCCCCAGCCTAGAGACTTTCTATGTCGCCTTCTCTGAAGAATACATTTCTAGGGTTGGGGAAAGGAAGTTGCCCAGTGTGATGTAGAGAACATGAGATACAGAGACCAAAACACTGAAACAGAAAGAAAGAGGAGAAACAACAGGGAGAAGAAAACTTTAAAAAATAATTATCATTAATACCTTCAGGGAGATAAGGCATTGCACTCATGAAACAGCAAGATGTTGCAGAAAGCAAATATTTGAAGAACAACAACTAAAACTATTAGACATGAAAGCGTGCAGAAACAAAAATTCAGTAGGATCAGAAGGCTGAGAGAATGTCTCAGAAAGTGAAACAAACAAACAAAAAAAGATGCAAAATAGGAGAGAAAAAGGCAAGGATTTGGGAGACTAAGTTTAGGAGATCCAATGTCTAAACAGCAGTCCCCATTAATTCATGGTAACTTTTATAGAATCTCGTGTTCTCTCTCATTCTCTAGCACTCCCAGACTGCTGGGAGTCTCTCACCTTCCTAGGCCAGAAGACCTCTTCTCACCCACACGCCCTGGCTCACGGCTACGTGCTTCCCTTGTGCTACGTACGACCACTGCTAGAGACACCCTGAGAAGTGTGGTTGTCTTCCTCTGGGTTGCCTTTTCGTTCTTCTTGCCCTAGGAGTCTCTCTGGTTCTGAGCCTCTCGGCCTAATATAGGTATCACAGGAGTCTGACTTGATCCAGAGTTTCCACAGGAAGGGGGAGGAGAGGGATAGGTTTAGTGAGCAATTTCTACAGAGCCATTTTCCCAACTAATGATTAGTTTCTTATGAGTAACAAAAAGGAACAAACTTTAAATGTATCCCTTACTGTTCCAGTCACATAAATGACCTGAGGTGCCTGGTGGGGTGATGTGCACCCATACAGGAACATGTGCTTATATATGTACCGGGTGGAGCAAAAGTAGGTTTACAGTTGTGAGTACATGAAACACAGAGTTTATTCTTGTATTATGATTTATTAGTTATTGTATTTTCCATACAAACAACTATAAACCTAATTTTGCCTACCCCTGTATATTTACTGATTCTCATATGTAGCCAGTTCTCTGTGGCCAAAGAGCTCATCACCTCCTCCAACCTGGGAGCCTCAATGCTCTCAATTCCTGCTGAGTCTCCTCCTCCAAAAAGTCTGCAATACAAGTCTATAAAGACTCATGGTCTATTCTTTTCTTTGAAACTAAAGATAATAATAGCCTTTTGGCTAAATGTACTTGTTTCCTATCCTCACTGCAGCCCCTGTTCACTTTCAACTTTTGTTTTTTGCTGAACAGTGTGCATGCGGTCAGTGAGTGGGAGATAGACGTGCTTCTGAATTCTCACGTGTGTGCCAGAGGCGGTCATTTTGGGGAATGTAGTAGATTATAGCGTGTTCCTCCTTTTCAAAGACTATAATCAGAACTATTTTTCCTAAAAATTGAATTTGTGAACTACTTGCTTTATTTAAATATCTCTTGGAACTGTTTTATTGTTAGTATGATTTAGACCATAATTAAGTAGAAATTTACCTCTGATACATTCACCAATGAGCTTTAAATTAACTTCCACATTCTTAGCAGTTGGATCAAAGGCACAGATATTCTCAACTAAGTGCCTGTTAAGGTACTGTGAACAAAGAACAAAAGTTACAGTATCACCAGCAAGTGGAACTGGAGTACCCAATTTGCCAGTTTACATAATTTCACTTACATAAATTTGAAAACAAGCAAAACCAATCTATCGTGTTAGAAGTCAGACTTCTGGTCACCCTGAGGGTGAGACTATGTCTGTATTTCTCTTTCCCTCTCTCCCTCTGTGTGTGTGTGTGTGTATGTGAATGAGGGGGTGATGGGAGAGGGTACAAAGGAGGGCTTTTGGGATGCAGCTAAGGATCTGTTTCTTAATCTAGGTGCGAGTTACAAATGTTTCACAGTGTAAAAATTCTTGCATCTGTATGCTTATGATTCATGCAATTATGAGCTGCATGCCTAAAATTGTGTGGGTTATTTTTCAAAAAAAGAGAACTTAAAAAAAAACTTACCAGTTTACATTTATCCCAATTTTCTAAGTCACTTGATAATTCCAACTCTGGATGAATGAACAAGATAACCCCTGTTAGGATGTCACGTATTAGTTTTGCATTGGCTTCCCAGTCTTGGGACTCGCTGTCTGGCAGAGAGTTTGACTGTGCTAGAGGACTGCTCTCATAGAGCAACAGTGATACAAAGTTCATGGCGGTTAGCCTCTGAAGGCTTTCCTGCAGCTCTTGCAGCATGATTCGGAAGAAGAGAACTCCTGCCCGCTGGACTTCTCCTGCATTTTCAATCTCTGGAATAACAGAATGACATCCCACATGGTTGTCAATACATACATTACATTTTTTGTAGGATTCTGAGCATAATACAGTAAACTTTTTTTTTTTAGGAAAAATCATATCTTACGGTTTTAAACAATATTATTTTCTCTAGTCATGAAATCAAAAGGCAGAAATGAAGTTAACACCTAGTGAAACTCACAGGAAGAGGCTCTGAGGAAAGGTGAAAGAAAACTTGTGTTTTGGAGTTAGACCTTAGTTTGAATACCTACTCTCCCCCTTATTCTGTTGTCTCTGAACCTCCTCTTTTCTGTGAGAATGGGGCTGATTCCTGCTTCTCTGGTGGGCTGTGGACATTAAGCGAGATGATATATGTAAAGTGCTTAGTCTTGGCCTTATACATAGTGAACACTGAAAAGACATGAATTTTTTTCTTCTTATCCCACCCCACCCTGTGTAATGGCTAGAAAACTGTCAGCTTAATCACACATGTGTTACTCTTCTAATTCCACTCACTCCCTTCTAGGTAGCCAAAGGTTTCCCTGCTTCCTTCTTCCTCCCTTCTGTACAAACTAGTTTTGTGTCAAGAGTAGCCGAATGGATGTGGAATCACAAGGATTGAGGTCTGGTCTTGGCTCTGTCCCTAGCTTGGCTCTGTCCCTATTGGACCTTTACTTTGATGGGCTTTAGCTCTTTATCTGTAAAATGAGATGTTCTGATGACTTAACGCTATGTAACACAGTGGAAAGAGCACCTGAACTTGAGTGCAAATTCACCCTCCACCACTTGTTAACTGTGTGATTTGGTGCAAGTTGTTTTGTTTCTGTAAACTTTATCTTTCTCACCTATAAAATGAGGCATCACCATTCACCTCATAGAATTATGGTAAGGACTAATTGAAATAACATATTTAAAGTGCTTGGTATAAGATGAGGCATTTAATAAATGCTAGCTCTATATTGCCTTTAGGAGGCCTTCTCATTATAAGACCATGTGATTCTAGCCAAGAAAATGCAATTTCTTACCCTTAACTCTAATTTATAGATCATACTCATCAATCCAAGACTACATGAGGGAATTTCTTTCATGTGAAAAATCTATATATTGCAACAACTCATTTTAGAAAACATCCTTCATTGCATTGTCTGTGATTTTCCTAAAACTTATTTCCCCCCCAAAAAAACTTATTAAACCCATAAATCCAGACTGTCGCCACATTCACAATACCTAAGACACGATGTTTCTTTATTTCTCCAGATAATTCATCCAGTATTTCATAGCAGGCAGCTTGGGTCACCTTTATCATTTTCTGTAGATCTTTAAATTCTCGATAAAACAACATCTTACTCTTGCCAATGTTAAAATCGAGAGCTCCCAAAGCCTCTCCTGTTCTTTCACGAAGTGGAATTACAATGTGGTTTTCTCCACAGACAGAGGCCAAAACAACTTCTGAACTGTCTGTACACTTAAAGACGAAATCTCTGAAACCAAAACCAAATAAACATAAGGATATAAAACATCAGCCTTTTCACAACATTCCACCCAAACATACTGAATCACTCTCTTTTGTGCCTACTACACTTCAACCCACCACCTCTTGTTGCTGTGTCATCTGCCTGGACCACTTCACCCCTTGATTTCACAGAGCTCTCTGCCTCAGCTCACTCACTCATCCCCTCTTAGAGAAACCTTCCCTTGCCATGTAATCTAAAGTAGCAGCACCTGGCTCACATCCCATCATGACACTGCTTTATTGTCTTTACTATGTTTTATACTTATCTGAAAGGTACTCATATTTTTGTTTGTTTACGTGTTGTCCAGTAAGTATTGGTGGAATGCCTGAAGGAATGATGAGTGTGTTAGGTTCTCTAGAAGCAGAACCTGAGACAGGTAAATGATTTATTGAGGGAGTGCACTCAGGAGGAACCTGTGAGGGTCTGAGAAAAGCAGGAGAGGAAAGGGGGGAAACTACATAATGTAATTTCAGGTAAAGTCTAACCTCAGCCTGGTCCCAAGGGGAGCTCTGGGAGGCAAACTTTGTCAAAATCTGTCCCACCTGGATGCAAGGAAGAGGTCTTTTGTTAGTCATTGATTCTCAGTTGCTCTGGATTTGTGGGGAGGGTCTTTACATAACTCTCAGGCACCTCCTGGTGGGAGGCTCACCTCTCTCAAGGGCACTCCCCCAGAGAAAGCTACAGTGTGAGTCATTGGCAGGAGCACCTGCAACATCTGGCAAAAGATACGTGGGGGATCTGGGCTGGGCATCGACAGCATCTGCTTCAATGAGGGACCTGAGGTTTTCATAAAAATGCAGTGGCTGCTTCTTTTTCTAGTATAGACACATCCCTTTTTATCTCATTTCCTCCTCCCCCATCTACATTAATATTGAGATGCCATTCCTTTGAGGTATTTGTAAAAATGTGGGTGCTTTGCATTGCTTCAAAAAACGCATTTATAATTTATAGTTCATAATATCAACCCTATAATGACAGGTAAGATTATGTCTTTTTTTTTTTTTTTTTTT